AAAAGTGTCAAAAATCATAACACCAGACAACAAAATCCATTTCCTTTTTCCCCTTTTTCCTCACATCACGTCCTCTTTTTCTCTGCAGTTGGGGAGTTGGAGGAAGGAAAGCGACATCAATCAGGCTATGGTCCCTTTGCCAGCGTCAGTGGGGGTCTGAGCCTGCTGACCCTGGATCTCAGTATTAGTGAGCTTTTGTTGCATGAGCAAGCCAGTCTACAATCAGTCCACATCCATAATGCATTTGAAAATCTTTCTTTTAGTTGAACTGGTGTGAATGTTTATCTGAAACAGCATTTTATTTCCTATGTGAGGTGAATCTCTTACCTGTAAAACTACTTGTCTGTTATCTACATGAATGCATGAGTTGTTGGAAATGTGATAAAATATGCATAGATGTTCAAGCTCCCCTCCTCAGATATGACTTCTGATTTGATTATGTAGCTGACCTTTTTTCTCTGATCTCTGTAAATCCTGAGGGACTATAAACTAACATGTCAGCCTTCAAAGACTCTTGCCTCATCAGTGTCTTCTTTTACATCACGTTCAAACACTCATGTCTACTGAAAGATTTTTTTTTGTAATTAATTTTAGTATATTTAAAAAAATAATTATTATTTTTTGCCATATAGGATGCGGTATTTTAGTTGATTTGTAATTTCTTTATAACTTTGTCTTAGTTTGTTCCTTTATTGTGTGTTTCTGGAAAGCGCATTGTTATGATAGTTACTATTATTGTTATCAGTCTATTACAGTTGATAAAAAGTGAATATTTACGTTTGAGACCGCTCAGTCCGCCTCTATTAAAAAACGAGAAACGTGAAATCATCAGGGGAAAAAAGCTTCGTTTGTACTTGTAGAACAAAAAATTCATGAACATTGAAAACAAAATAGTAATAATAAAATATAGGTCGCATTTCTTCATTAGACACTATCAAAATAGAGCTAACAGGAATTTTTTTTTTTATCCAAAACAAGGAAACAGGCTATTTTGTTTCCCTCCTAACTCTTTTCCTGTCTGTTCTTGAAATCCCAGCACGTAGGTTACTTCTTTTTGAATGCTGATTGGCTGTGATACAAGAGATGGGTGGTCTTATGCCACTTTTACCGTCTACGATTGGTTATTTAACTGAAAAAGAACGGATTTGCTGCTCTCATTGGAGGAATTCGTCACGCGCTCAGTAGTATGATTGGTCAATATAGCTGGCGGGAGATGTTGCCACAAAATTTCGAATATTCATACTGGGACCTCAGCTCAGGCAGCGAAGGAACGTTTTAGTGCAGGCAGCCGTTATTATTGGGGGTAGCTGGGATTTATTTAGCTTGTTGCAAACCTAGAGTGTACTATATTTCAAACGAAGGGCTTTAACATTAAATACAAGAAGAATGGCTGAACCGTTGAAGGTAACGTTACTGTTGCTTTCATATTTGCTGCTAACGTGTTATTAGGCTTACGTGCTAACCTGCTACAACTGTAAGTTAAACTTCTAAGAAACAGTTAAAGGCACTTGGCTAACGTCGTGAGCTGCTT